TTCTCAGGTCAAAATTCTGGGGGCTGTTTTGGCCTACTGACTTCTGGCGCTCCTTTCTCCTGCCTCAGGTGGTTATCTTACTAAGTGTAGATCTGTAATGAGTCAAAGACATATAGATATGGCTCTGTACACCTTCCTGTAGGAACCTCTTCTTTGGTATTGTGCCCTACAGAATTCTAACATCTCAGCTCTGTGGATCTCCAGTCTCTGCCTTCTCAACCTGTTCATGTTGCTGAACTGTTGAGATTCCTCCTGCCTACATTCCGGACTGCAGAATGGCCCTGGACAATAAACTAGAACAGCCATAGGACTTCTACCTTATTTATTATCCTGCTACCCCCATCAAGGATAAAATTCCTGTATTTCCTAATGTCTAAACCTGGAAAGAAATTATTTTATGGCCAGTGCCGCAGCTCAACAGGCTAATCCTCCGCCTTGCGGCGTCGGCACACCGGGTTCTAGTCCCGGTCGGGGCGCCGGATTCTCTCCTGGTTGCCCCTCTTCCAGGCCAGCTCTCTGCTGTGGCCCGGGAGGGCAGTGGAGGATGGCCCAAGTGCTTGGGCCCTGCACCCCATGGGAGACCAGGATAAGCACCTGGCTCCTGCCTTCGGATCAGTGCGGTGCACTGGCTGCAGCGCGCCGTCCGCGGGGGCCATTGGAGGGTGAACCAATGGCAAAGGAAGACCTTTCTCTCTGTCTCTCTCTCTCACTGTCCACTCTGCCTGTCAAAAAAAAAAAGAAATTATTTTATGTATTTGGGTTTGTAAATTATTAATGGTAATGGGGGTTACCAAATGCTAGGTGATTATACATGAGAAGAAATATAAACCCTTACACCTATTCTAAAATCTGCAGTATGGGTTAGTCCAGTCACACTGATGAAAACTGAAAAATAGATGAATCACAAAAGAAAACAAAGTTGGTGATTTTCCTTTGGGATATCAAAAATAGGAATTAGAATGGTGAATAGGCAGAAGAGCAACTCTGTTCATGGTAATGTTATTATAAAATTTGAAGTTATGTTAACCCCCAAATTACTTCTTGTACCCAACTAGTGAAGCCTTGAAATACCACAAAGATAAATTCACTCCTTTGTATTAGAGCTTTATTATTTTTATTTAAGTCAATAACAAATTCTCCTAAGAAGGTAAAATTTTTAAATCTCTTAAATTATTTAGGGCACATAAAATATCAGATCACTTTGTGGAAAAGTAGTTTCTCATTCTGGAGAGACAGAAAAAGGCAGTAGCTATAGAAGCTGGGCCAGGGAATCCAAGAGTAGGAGGCAGTTCAGAAAACGGAGTCTGTTAAATGGAAGTCACTATTTATATTATTTTTTATCCAGAAGCAAACTGCCTTCCATTTTAACTCAATTGTTTATTTATATGAGGTGAAAAGCTTTATGTAGTTCCCATACACAGATCTAGGAGCGTAGTGATGTAGCTGACTCTCCTGCCCTCCTGCCCTTGCTCCCACCCTCCCTCTTCCTTCTTATTTTTTCTTTCAATTTTTACAATGGCATACTTTTAGTTCATTTTATAATCATAAACTTAACCCTCCGCTAGGTAAATAATTCAAATAATTGTAAGTTTAAAAAACCAATTAATATATTTGGTCCATATTTATTTAAGATCAGAATAGTTCATGTCATTTACAAAAGGCATCATCACCTTTTAAAATTAATTCCTGTTAAGGTACTGACTTCTTTTATTTTGGCATTGCTAGAGGCTACATGGGATGTTTTATTGGGTCCAGAGTGATTTTTTTCTCTCATCAAATTATTGAGGTATTGTAAGCAGTCTTTGGTCGAGTCAAGGCCAATCTTGGCTTGTGGAATTCCTGGGATAAGAAAGTCACATACTCCCATCCTGAAGGAGGATGATGATCAAGAACACTCTGTTAAAATTATCTGTTACCGGAGGCCCGATAAGCTGCTTGTGCATGTTACTTCTTTGAGCTGTAGCTGGTTATGTTTAAATATCGCTGAGACACTGGAATAAACGAGCCTTGATCAGCCTTGTTGTCTTGGCTCCATTCTCTGTGCCCTTGTCCCTCTTTTCATTCCCACTCCCTCCTTCAGGTTCTGTTCAACTGGTGTGGCAGGCCCGCACAAGGTATAATTGATATACAGTAAACTGAGTGTGTTTAAAATGTATAATTTGACATATTTTGACATATGAATATACTCATGAAACCATAACCACAATCAAGATAATGTATAAATTCATCACCCCCAAGTTTTTCCTCTTGCCCCATCCTACTCCAATCCCATGTCAAGCAATGATCTGCTTTCTGCCACCATAGATTAGTTTCTGTCTTCTAGAATGCTATATTTGTAGAATAACCCAACAGCTATTTTTTCTCATCTGGATTTTTTTTTTCACTTAATATAATGTTTTTGAGGTTCGTTCATTTGTTCAGTGTTTCACTTTTTCCTCACCTCAAGGATGTTTAGCCCTTGTTTATACTGCTGTGGAACTGAGGTCTTTCTACCTTTTACTTGTTGACTTTTATGGTTAGTGCTGCATTAAGCCTGTGATTATAGAGTAGATTGAAATTATGTCTTTGCCAAAATTAAAGGAAAAAAAAAGAAAGGAAGGAAGAAGGAGGATTTAGGGAGAGAGTTGGGGAGGAAGGGAAATAGAGTTATCTGCTTAGAACTGTAGGTATCAAATACATGAAATCTGTTCTTTTTTGTCTTTATATTAATAATTTTTTTAAAAAGTCCTTAATTGCCTATTTATGATTCCAATTATGTATTTTGTCTATTTCTCCTTGTAGCTCTGTCAATTTTTGCTTAATTTTTATTTAAATTCTGTCGTTAAGTACATAAAACTTTGAGGTTATCATGTCATCTTGAATAATTGAACCCTTCTCATTATGAAATAATTACTTTTAGCTCAGTAATAGTCTTTGTTCTGAAATCTACTTTATCAGATGTAATACAGTCTCTTCAGTTTGTTTTTTATATTAGTGTTAGCATGGTACACCTAATTATATATTTTTACTTTCAGTCAAGTTATAAATGGGTTTCTTGTATAGAAGCATAGAATTATGTTTATATATGAGAGTTCTTCCCAAAGTCCATGGAAAAGGGGAATTGCAAGATAAGCTTATTTTGCCGTAAAGAATGTTGAATTCTAGTCACAGTTTTTTTCAATAAATGTATTTTCCATGAACTTTTTGAAGATTCTTATATGTATGATTTCAGTTATTTTACACCAAAATATGGTTATTATTTAATTCCATTTTCACAAGCTTTTGGAAATACTCTATTATACTCTGACAATTTCTGCCTTATAATTGGTATGTTTATGTCATTTATATTTATACTTAACCCAATTTCCTCCTCCTTTGGTACAGTGTCATCTATCATATTTTGAAGTACTATTAAAACTTTATTTCAAAATTTTAAATTTTAATTCTTTGTTCTCTGATTTCTGCTAAAGTAATTATGATTGTAATTTGATATCCTTATGGTATTTATACACTATGGAATACTACTCAGTGGTTAAAAAAATTAAATCCTGTCTTTTGCAACAAAATGGATACAAATGAAAACCATTTTATTTAGTGAAATAAGCCAATCCCCAAAAGACAGATATCATATTCATATGTTTTCCCTGATCTGGGGTAACTAATAGAGTACCTAAAATGTAATGGATAGGAGTGAAATTGACATTTTGAGATTTGATGATTGTTTATAGCCCTTGTCTCTACTGTTGAAGAACAGCGTTGTTTTTGTGTGTGTGTGTGTGATATTTGTTGAACTCTTTACTTAGTGTAGAGTTAATCATATGGGTATAAAGTAAACTGAAAATAAAAATTTGTAAAGATTAAAAGTGGGGATAGGAGAGGGAGGAGTAAGAAGGAGGGAGCATGGGCAGGAGGGAGGTAGGGAGGGAAGTATCACCACGTTCCTAAATCTGTATATATGAAACACATGAAATTTGTATACCTTAAATAAAATCTAAAAAGAAAACACTAGGACTAAGTACCCACTAACAACATATTTTTAATAAAATAATATATCGATGCAATAAAAATTTTGATATCATATGTTGTTTTCAGCAGGGCCATTACACATTTGCAACTGATAAGAATGACTATGATCTGTCTAGAAGTTATATTTTTCGTGATTATCCCTGGTTATGTAATTTCTTTGGAACCATGGTTAGCCTCAAGAAAAGAAGTTTATCCTTTCTTTATGCCATTGAACATGCTTATCCTACTACCGCCCTTAGAAGCCTTGATTGGTTGTCTGCCTTCCCAGATAGTTTTCTGTCTTTCTTTGCTCTTACTAAAACAGACCCCAGATCTAAACAAGTGCTTCTTAATGAGCAGTCTACAGAGCATGTGAGCATCAGAATCATTTGCAATATGTCTTGGGAATATAGGCTCCTGGGCCTAAACTCAGACTAACTTTACCTTAGGCATGTGAATTTCAAGAATCTGAATTTGTCAAGTACTTTCTTGGAAAGTCTGAAAACCACCATTCTATGGCATGAGCTCTAATAATGAAAGAAATTTAGCATGCATCCTCTGTATTTTTATTATGTGAATAAGTTTTATATTTGTATTTTATTTTGTTGCACTTGAATTAATATATAAAATCTACACAGGCAAAAATACCTTTTTAAAATGTGGACATTGAAAATAAATAAAGTGAAAGTTCTAGCACTTTCTGCCTACATCCTAATGTGTTGTATTTTTAAGCTCCCCCTTTGCAGACCTCTGTTCTAAACCTTGGCAGAACTTGATGGGATATGGTCTGTTTTCAAAAAAAAAAAAAATTACAAAAAAAAAAAAAAAAAAAGAACCAAAAGGAATACTGCAAATGAATTTCTGGTTAATTGGTTCTCAGCCATGATGATGTCTAGAATATACCCTAGGCCAATTAAAAACGAATCTGGGATAGGATTCAGGCACTGGCATTTTTTAAATTTCCCAATGTACAAAAACTGTTGATCAGCTGTCTGTTAGAACAATGGCTTCTTAAAATTTAGCAAGCCTGGAGAGCTTGTTAAAACATGAAAGCTTGGGTTCTACCTGCAGGTAAGTCTAGGTGGGGCAGAATCCGGTGATCTTAACAAGCTCCCGGGTGAAGCTGCAACTGGTCTGTGCTTCCCTCCAGTAGCAGTGCTGTGGCCACTCTGACCTTGCAGACAAGCCTTCGTCTCCGACAATATCATTCAGCCTTTAGTACTGAAAAACTTGAAGTCAACCTGCTCCTGTATTAATAAATTATTCCTTTCAGGTGAAATTATTAGTTAAAGCAGTTTAATTATGACTCTTCCTTAAATATTGGTTGAAGTCCAGTTATCACCCTTTGTACAAGGAGTAATGCTGACCGCAAGTTCTGGGATCTAAATTAATGTCATGGCCATACGATCTTGACCGTGCATGTGATGACTAAGACTCAGCAACAAGTGTTTCAACCTCCTTTTTCCTCCTTCCCTGAAGCTTTTGGTTCATGTGTAAGATGGGGCCTCACTTCTATAATTGCAGTTTTTTTTTCTTTTTTTCCAGATTTAGATTTTTCCAGACTTCTTTGGAACCTGTTCTCACATCTTGGGCACCGGGGATGCAGACATGAGGAGATGCAGTTCTAGTTTGAGCTCGCCATTAATTTTCTGGGTGAGTCTAAGAAAGGCATTTAAAACTTTCTGTGTTTCATTTTCCTCGACTATAAAAAAGGGGAGTTGGACAAGATGCATGTTTTTAAGTTCCTTTGCAGATCTAAAATTGTCTTCTCTATCATTTCACAAAATACTACCCAGAGCAGACAAGTTGTTTATTATGTGAAGGAGTTTGTGATGGTTCAGTAATTCAGTATATTAAAAAAAATTGTTCAAATGCCTCCCTTTCTGGGGCTTTAGTTTTTCAGTTTTCAGGGCAGAGCAAATACAATTAAAAGGGGTATAGCTCCACAGTGGTTTGAAACCCCTCTCTAGGATCTGCTCGAAACAATTAAAATCATCAGATGCAGCCTCCCTTTGGCTAAACGAAAGGACTCCATTTTGCTGGGAGAAATTGTATTCTTCTCTATAAAAGTACATATGTCAAATTAAAAAAAAAACTGACTTTTATCAGACTCAAAAAAGGTGAATAGTGATTTTTAATACAGTTACAACTTAGGGCTTCTAATCTGTTAGTCCTGTGTAGAGTTGTGGGGTACTTGCCAGTAATATATTGTCAGGGAGAATTTAAAAGGTGCAATTTGGTTTCTCACTGGTTGTGAGACTGACAAGCTAGCTGCACACATGCTTAGAAAAAAATGAGGAACATTTTAGGTGCTTAGAGAAATACCTGATTACTCAATAATTCCAGTTTGGATGTATTTTCTAAGGAAACAATTAGAAATTAGTTGTGATATGAGATTGTTGATGGTAGGTTTATGTACACATACCATTTGAAAATACTGGAAGCATCCTGAATTCTAATAATAATTAATTAATTAAATTTCTAATAACAGTTGAATGAATGATTCAATCCACAGAAATGAATAATATACATCAATCAAGCTAAAATATAATTATAAAATGATGTGGAAAATAGATACATTATAACTTACAATACCCAGATATAGAACATATACTAATCACTACACTTGCTGTGTGTAGAATGAGACTGTACCATAGTGAATGGTTCTATTATAATGAAGAGGTTATGAGTGACTCCATTTATTTTCTAACTTTCTGTGATGTAACTAATACTTTGAATGCAGGATAAATATCGCACAATCTTTTCAACAATACTTTCTATGTCCAAAACTGGTTCTCCCTCTTCTACTTGGGTACATTTGGGTAAATTATTAATCTCACTTCTCTGTTTCCTCATTTATTAAATGGAGTTGCCTAATTTTAGCAACTACCTTATAGATTGTGAAGATTTAGTTAATTAATGTATATATAAAAATCCCTTCAAACAGAGGATGTGAGATATAGTAAGTATGGTAAGCCACAAATGTTTTTATTATTTATTATTGTTTAAAATAATTTATCTTGCTTCATCTGTAATGTCTTTTCTAGATATAGAAGCATTGCAACTTTTTTTAAAAATTTTATTTATTTATTTATTTTGACAGGCAGAGTGGACAGTGAGAGAGAGAGACAGAGAGAAAGCTCTTCCTTTTGCCGTTGGTTCACCCTCCATGGCCGCCGTGGCCGGGGCACCGTGCTGATCTGATGGCAGGAGCCAGGTGCTTCTCCTGGTCTCCCATGGGGTGCAGGGCCCAAGCACTTGGGCCATCCTCCACTGCACTCTTGGGCCACAGCAGAGAGCTGGCCTGGAAGAGAGGCAACCGGGACAGAATCCGGCGCTCCTACCGGGACTAGAACCTGGTGTGCCGGCGCCGCAAGGCAGAGGATTAGCCTATTGAGCCACGGCGCTAGCCAACTTTTTTTAAAATTTAAAAAAAAAAATTTTTTTTTTAATTTCAGAGGTTGAGAGACAGAGACAGAGACAGATTCCCTCCTCAGATGCTCACATCAGCTGAGGCTGGGCCAGGCTGAAGCCAGGAGCTAGGAATTCCATCTATTCCTCCTAGGTGAGTGGCAGGCACACGACCACCCAACCCATCACATGCTGTCTGCAAACGTGCACTTTAACAGGAAGCTAGATCTGGGATTGCAGTCAGGACTCGAACTCAGGCACTTTGACACAGGATATGGGCATCCCAATTGGCATCCTATGTCCTGCAGCAATTCTTTGCCCCAGTAGCAACTTTAAAAAAGATAAATAAATAAAGAGCATATATAAACGTTCTTTCCTTATCACTCAATATCTCCGACACACATTCATCAACTCCTCAAAATTCAGGGCAATTATGGATAGGCTTACATCCTTTACACATAATTCCTGCTCTCCTCACAGTCTACATTTTATATTGCGTTTCTCAGAAAGGTGCTCCCAATGCACCAGTCATCCTACAGGCCCTCCATTGCGTTGGCGCTGCAGTGGTCACTGGAATCACTTGAAAAGGTACACCCAATTTTTGTTTTTACTCATCTCTCCGAAATCACCACAGAGTTCTTTGGGTATCTTTGACACACTGTGATTCTGATCAGCAAATAAAGAAAACTTGTGTTTAAAGTAAAACCCATTATGAACAATTTTATTTCCAAAAACGATGAAAGCCAGATCCCAACTTTACTTCTAAAACTCCCTGGCACAAAATTTGTTTCCACAGTTATAGGACAACACAGAAAGACCAAAACCTCAAACACATTAAAAACCAAACATACAAACCCTTACGAAATGACATTTTAAATGAGAAAATAGTTAGCATATTTGGAAGTAGATAAGACCTGGGTATTGATAAAGATTAGTAGCAACATGTAAATAGTTCTGAACATTAAAAAAAAATTCCAACTGGAAGGAAATTTAAATTCTTTCTGCTCCCTGTTTTTGGTTAACAAAAGTTTATTGTTGCCTCTGAGGCAACAGCTTTTATTGCTTATATTTTTCCTTCTTCTTATTTCCATATTTTTAAGTCATGTGGTTTTATGATTATTTCTTGATTTATCAGTATTTTCTAATCTGATAAGATGGTTTACCTGGCAAGTTAGTACATTGATATGGATTATGATTATTGGTATTATTATTGGTATATATAGAATTATTTCTATCATCTTATTTTGTGTTTGCTTTTCTCTAAATATTGTCCTTGTTTCTGTCCTCTTGTTGTTTCAAGATTTAAAAAAATCCTTATTTTGTATCATTTAATTTCTTCTAATAATTTGGAAATCATTATTTGTATGGCTTCTTGTTACTTGACTTAACAAACTTACTCTGATTTTCAAATGTTGCACCAAATTTATAATAGACATGTAAACTCAATTTGGTCATGAAGTAGAATTGTTTCATATATTGCTGCTTCTGGGATGCTAATTTTTTCAGTACGTTTTGCCTGTGTATTTATGAGTGAGAAGAGCCCACAGCATTCTCTTTTTGCTATTGTTCAGATTTGCTATCCAGACAATTTAATTCTTAGTGTCAATAGAATCAGTTGAGAATCAAAACACTTTTTCAATTCTCTTGAAGAGTTTGTATACAATTAGAATTATTCTTCCTTAAATGTTGGTAGAACTCAGAAGGGAAATAATCAGGACATGCAATTTTCTTGGTAGAAATTTAAATTACTGACTTGACTTTTTAATATTAAAACCCATTTTGTTTCATTTTTTACTGTGTATATTCTGATGAGAAGCTTTAAAAATTTATCCTCAGAAATTAAAAAAAATCTGTGGGATCTATAGTAATGTGTGTTTTTGTAATGACTAAAGCTGGTTCTCTCTGGTGAGGTTATACGTTTCCTTTTTTTTTTTTTATGGTTTAATGGGGCATCTTAAAAATTACTGTTTATTTACTTCCATTTTTATTTGAAAGCCAGAGAGACAAAGAGAGAGAGATCTTCCACCCATTTGTGTATTTCCTAAGTACCCACAACAGCCAAGGCTGGGCCAGGTTGAAATCAGGAGCCGTGAACTCAGTCAGGGTCTCCCACATGGGTGGGGCTCAAGCACTTGAGCTGCCGTCTGCCGTCCCCCAGCGTGCACTTCACTGGGAGCTGGATCAGAAGTGCAGCGGATAAGCCTCACAGCAGGCGTCCCAAGCAGTGACTAAATCAGGGGCCCTGACAGCCACCCCCAGTGAGCACACTCTTGAGCGTGTTTTTGTTTTCTTTATTAAATCTTTTCTCCAGCTTTGTCTCCCAGCATCTGACATGTCTTTTGCGTGTTCCAACTATTACATTTTGTCACAAATGGCAGTAATTTGTTTATCAAAAAAAAAAAATGACCTTCGCATGGTTAATTTTCCATTCTGAGAATGTTCTGGATTACGTAAACAAAGGGAAGCCCCCCTGTCATTCCTTCATCGCATCTCCCAGAAGGCACAACAATCACAATTTCTTTAGTGCAAAGTCTGTCCTTCTCCCTTTTGGTACCAGGAACCCACCCAGAAACATGGGCTTCTGCCTTCCCGAAATTCACTGTGCTGGGTGGAGCTGAGCAAGAGAAAGTTAAAATGCCTCAGAATCCTCCTACTATGTGGGCTGCCTTTTTCTTGACTAAATGTTCACTTGATTGCTGTGAGAATGTCTACTTTCCAAAATTCTAACAAACTTGATTCTGACAGCTTTTTGCCCATTTTGGGGGACCTATGTTTCTTTGAAATCATTCTCTGTCTTCTAGGGATGAACTTGTGGATCCTTTATTTAAGGCTATGATGCTTTTTCTATTTAGTGTGTTAGTTGCCTCCTGTAGACGACTGTGAAGCATTTTCAGTTTGTACAGAGAAGAGCTGTGACTGGAGCGCAGGTGGACTGTTGTGGATGCTCTGAGCTGCTCCCTTGAGCCTCTGCCACTGGGGACAACCTAGTCCCTTAGCTACAACAGCTGTCCTGGCAGAGCCTTCAGCTCAGGGTTCCATGAAGGTGTTGCCTTGCTGTGCTTCTTCCTTTTGATTCCCCAGGTCTAGTACATGATGGGAATGGGATATAAATTCCTGAACCTCTCTTGCCGACTTGGAGCTGTGCCTATGGGTAGTTTTCAAACTCCCTAGAAGGTCGGGCTGAGGATCTCGTCAAATTTCATCACACCCAGATTTCTCCTCCTGGCCAATTTTGTTTTCTTCCTTTTTTTCCCACTCATACTGATCCTAAGAGCACTCTCTAGAAATCCTATGGCAGAGCAATCCCTGTGCCAGTGCTCTTTTCAGAGGGAAAAACCCATGAGAACAGGCTCTCCAGAAGATGTGACATTCAACCTGAACACTTGTATACAAGAATGTAGGTGGTGAGTGCCAACTGTTCCTATGGCAGAAAGAAAGAAGGTGTTTCCAAGGGTACGTATGCTGGGGTGATATGCTCATGAAGCATAGCACTAAGAGAATTTTATCTACGTCACGAAGGATTGTGTAATCTTTCATAGACTGCACTACTAATACTGTAGCTGAAGATGCTACAGTATTAGTACCATTGATCAGAATAGCGTGGTGCAAAACTTTTGGTGGATAGATCTCAAACATAAGGGGATCTGGATTTCACTTAAATAGGAAAGGCATCAATTTTTGAAGTGTGGTAGCCCTTAGCAGGCAACAAATGTTTGCAGATTAAAATGGTTGCTGAGTGACTGCAGAATTTCTAACTACCCAGTTCCTCATTAGAAGTCCATTTCACTGTTGACTTACCCAGCAGGATCCTGGAAAATGTTTTTACTCTATTGGGACCATGCAGCCTTCTACTCTTACAGCTTGCAGGCAAATGGCACCCATAGGGGAAATTCTGCACACTGTCAGTTTTCGGATATGCAACTGGATCCCTACTGTGCTTTATTAAAGGCATAAATCTGAACTTGTGCTGAATATGTACAAAAGGAATTTGATTTGTACATCTTTATCACACTAAAGAGTTACTCCAGTTTCCAGAGGCAGCCTACTTACCATCTCATTAATTGATGAACACCACAGTAATACTTTCTAATAAGTGATACCCGTGACAGCAACTCTGGGTTCCCTGTGTTTTAAATGCAGTGCAGAGTGTAAAACAAACATAAGAAAGATCCAAGCTAATACCTGCTGGTTAAATCTTCAGTCATTCATCAGGTCTGGAAAGCCTTGATTTACTACCAAAATTACAGTTTAAAATTCAGCTTCCGTCAGGAAAGAGAGGTTTATAAGTACTCTAAGAGAAGAAGAATATGTATAGGCAACAGACGAAGAGTGAAAGGATGAGAAGCAGTGAAGGAATAGAGCAATCTTTCTTGATTGAAGAAAAAATTATCGTGTTTTTTTCTAAAGATTTGTGCAAGCACTTCAAAACTCTGCACCACCGAAAAGCTGGCCCAGTCGCTCTGACACTTTACCTACCTGAATGTAGCACATCCTGTTCAATAAGAGGACATTTCAAAAGCAATATTGCAATGCCTAAGAGACAAATTTTTAACTTAACAATGTTTGTGTATGGAGTTTTCTGAAAAAATTGCAGGTAAAGTGATATTTTGTGGTCTATCTTAGGCTCAAACTAGCTGTGGCAACACTAAAAAACACCACGGGTTGTAGGGTAACACATGGAAATTATTTCTTGCTGATATGACAAACCAACAAGGTTTAATTGGATATTTCCACGCACATGCAAAGGAGGATGGGAAAAGTAATCTAAGCCCTTGAAGCCAATTCCTAAAGCTGTCTATCTACTCTGGCAATTTTGATGGACAGTTTAACTTTTTTTCCACTTGAGCAGTCTCTGCCTAAAGAAAATAGCAACGGAGCTCTTTCCATCTACTCTTCTGCTAATTTCTGCATAGACAAGGCCATGTCTAACCTACCAGTATTCTGCATTGTTAAATAAACTATTGTGTTCAGTTCAATTTGATGCAAAAATATTATTGAGAAGGTACTATTACTGAATTGCTGTGTTAGATTCCATGAATGGTGACAGAAAGGTATTTTGAGGGTCCTTAGGGAATTAATAAACAACCTATTCCAATAAAATCCAATTCCAACACAATGTATTAAATACTAGTCTCTGTTAAGACTGATGAACATTTGCTCTTCCCACATTTAATGAAGCATAATTCATTCGAGAATTAATTGTCAACAACTCAAATATAATTATACAAATCTGACATGAGAATTAAGTTTATTATGCCATATGCCAAGAAATGAGACACACTTTGTAAAATTTTAGTAAATCTCTAAGATGTAACTAACTATATAGAAAAACTGACTTTGAATTTTTTGATTTTAAGGAAACATTTCTCAATTCTGTCTTTTCTTTGAAGATTTATTTTATTCATTTGAAAGGCAGAGTTACAGGGTAGGGTGGAGGGGAGAAGGAGAGAGAGAGAGAGAGAGAGAGAGACAGACAGACAGCTGGAGCTTGGCCAGGTGGAAGCTAGAAGCCTGGTACTCTACTCAGGTCTCCTACATAGGTGACAGAGGCTCAAATACTTGGACCAACTTCCACTGTCTTCCAGGTACTTTAGCAGGGAGCTGGATCAGAAGCGGAGCAGCCAGGATTCCACTTCATATACGATGGTGGCTTAGCCCTCTAAGCCACAACAGCAGCCCCTCAACTTTGGCTTTCCAAGGTGGAAGAAAAACATCAGACTACCCAATGCCATTTTTATTCCATAACATAAGAAAACTATTCAGTCTTTTTTAAAATTATTTTATTTATTTATTTGACAGGCAGAGTGGACAGTGAGAGACAGAGACAGAGAGAAAGGTCTTCCTTTACCATTGGTTCACCCTCCAATGGCCACTGCGGCTGGCGCACCATGCTGATCCGAAGCCAGGAGCCAGGTGCTTCTCCTGGTCTCCCATGGGGTGCAGGGCCCAAGGACCTCGGCCATCCTCCACTGCACTCCCGGGCCACAGCAGAGAGCTGGACAGGAAGAGGAGCAACTGGGACAGAGTCCAGCACCCCGACCGGGACTAGAACCCGGTGTGCTGGTGCTGCAGGCAGAGAATTAGCCTATTGAGCCACGGGAGCCTATTCAGTCTTTTATTGACCAACTTATAATTGACACCTTGTCTTATTGAGCTGCATTATAAAATGATTATTGACACATGGCTTTAATTAGTTC